AGCTACAGAAAAGGCTCTCCCCCGAGTGGTCACCAGTCGGCATTGTCCGGTCAACGGCACCCGGAGGAGGCCTAGCCTGTGGGTTCTTATCGGACGTTGGGAGGTGTGTATCAGGAGACGGTCTCTCAGATATCCAGGTCCAATGCCATGTAGGGCTTTAAAGGTAATCATCAGCACTTTGTAGCGAGTCCGGAGACCAATAGGGAGCCAGTGCAGCCCATGGAAGATAGGTGTAACATGGGTGTACTGAGGTATACCCGATATCGCTCGCGCGACTGCATGGACCAACTGTTGTCTCCGAACACTCTTCAAGGGCAGCCCCATTATTTCCAGTAAGCTGGACAGAGTTAGGTAACTCATTTGACTTGAGTGATTTGAGACATGGAAGAAATTTGAATTGTATCTCTAAGAGGTCATGCAAGTGACTTGGGATAAATGTGAACTAGAGAGGGCCAGATCCAACTTTGGAAGGCCAATAAATGGGCTAAAAAGGGGCTAAAATGAGTAAAGGTTTAAAACAGGGGTGACAAACTTTATTTTATTGAGGGCCCCATTAGGGTTATGTTTGACCTTGGGAGTCCGGGGGAGGGAATGGCCAGGGTGGGTGTGACCAGCTCGATGTCACTCATGTTACAGAGCCTATGGTAAACTGAGTGCTTCTGCCAGTGAAAATAGGCTCCTGAGCTCCGTTTTCAGCTGCGACAGCCTCCTGCAACCCCCTGGCAGTGAAAACGGAGCTTAGGAGAGCTGTCCACAACCCTCCTGAGCTCCATTTTTGCTGGCAGAAGCACCAAGGGGCGATCCTTCACTGTTTCCAGGGCAGCCCTGTTGGCCAGATCTAAGCACCCCACAAGCTGAATCCGACCCCCAGGCCTTGAGTTTGTCACCCTGGTCTAAAAGAGTAAAACCTCTTCAACAGGAAGCAGATTAGAGATTTATGGGAATAAGAAATTATTTTGCTGATCTCCCAAGCTTTAGACAGTGAGATGAATGCCATATAAATTTAATAAATAAATAAATAACATTTTATGTTTCAAACAGAGACAAATTGCTCCACTCTAAATGGGACTCACAGCTACCAAAAGAACCTATTTGCAAATTCCCCTAAAAATGAATGCCTAACTGAATCCATATTAAGATGCCTCTCTCCCTGGCCATGCTCAAAATCTCTCTTGATCCTGGTTTTTCTAAAACTTTTATTAGAAACATTTGGGGTCAAATTCTCTACTCTGCTTTGCCAGCCCATCTTCAAATTCAGGAGCCACATCTGTAAGGTCTTCCTTTGGGCATGTGCTTGTTGACTTCTTCAGGGTTCTGAGAGTTGATGTTTCTGTTCTTGCAATTATCCAAATCATACTGAAGAGCTGAAGAAGCTTCTTGGATGAGAAGCAAAATATATTTTAAAAAAAAAAACCTGAGAAAGCCCAGCCGCCTTTTGGAAAAAGCACCTTTGGGACAACCATATGAACTGGATGACTGAGAAACTCCATGGACCTTTTTCCAAATCATAGTGATTTGCTGAGTTTATGTTAAGCCCCTAGAGACGTTTCTGCAAACTTTCAGAAAATGTAATCCAAACAAGTCAGAAAGTGTTTTGATGTTGCTATCAGATACAATGTTAGGTAAAACAGAAAGTCAGAAATGTTGGGTACATGAACATAACATGAACAGTACATGAACAGGAGAGATTCAACCTGGAAATAAGAAGAAATTATCTGACAGTGAGAGCATTAGGGTTATGCCAATGGAACAGAAGTTGCCTTCGGAAGTTGTGGGAGCTTCATCACTGGTGACTTTCAAGAAGAGATTGGACTGCCATTTGTCAGAAATGGTGTAGGGTCTCCTGCTTGGGAGGGGGGGGGGGTCAGTATTGGTAGGCAGGTCGATATGTTTATTTATGTATAGAATTCATATCCTGGGTGCTTTACAATTCAAGTACAAAATAGGAAATAGGAAAAGAATCATAAACTGCCCCAAAAACAAACAAAATATCAACAGAAGTTGATTCAACAGATTGTCAATTCACTCTGCCCGAGAGCTGGAGAGAATAAAGTGGACTTTCAAAGCTTCTGAAGTCATCCAGGTTGGAGCTATTCATAATTAGATTGGTCCAACTCATCAAATATCTATAATATGAAGAATATACAAGAGCTCATTAATTATTTTAGCTGTTCAGTATCTTTAAAAAATAATATAATTTGAAAGAATCCTAGAACTGCATTTAAAATGTGAAAATATCTGGGAGTCTCAGTCACCCCTATTAAAAGGGATTAAACAGTCCACCAGATATGGGACAAAATATTTGAAGACCAATGCATGAAATGTGGGTTTGTCATAAAAATATTCCGATAAAAGAAACAAGGGAAACCACAAGCAATAACTCTTACTTTAAGATCAGAGGTTTATTTCATGAGGAATTTGGAACATGAATAGCCAACATAGCAATGCAATTCCACAACAAAACTTACATAATTAAACCATTGCAATGGGGTCCAATGACAGATAGCACATCCTACAAGGACAGCTATTGGGCAAAGGACCCCATTCTCATCTCAAGTCACATTTCTTATACTTTCTTTTTTTTTACTAACTGACGCATTCCATAGTTTCGTTCTTACATTCTTACTGACTGTCACTCTATGCAAACACCTGTGTGCATTTGAAGCTCTCAGCTATTTGTTTCTTTCTGTTCCTCATTTCCCATCATCTCATTCTTCCTGCTCTAAATGTATCCATACAATTACCTACTGTGCAGAAAATGCAGCACCCAATCAGCACATTAGAAATATGTCTGGTACATTTTGCAATTACGTTAGTTTAAAACTTTGGTTCAATGGGGCCTGCAAGGTCACTCCTATGCCTATTACCTGCAACTTTCCAATGGACGTATTTCTTTTCTCATGGGTTGTGTTACTATAACCACCTGGAAGAATGTCTTTGAAATATTGTATGAAGCTTTTTAATTCTTTTTCTACTGAAATATATTTTAATATTGCACAAGGTTTGCAGGCCATTATGAATGAGTGGATTAAAAAGATGTTAATGAAAAAAAATAAAAATGTTATTTTCACTTATATGTTCGTACCTGCAGAAAAGCACCCAAACATTATTGGAAATTTGTGCCCTTCGTTTTTGCAACTGAGGACATCAACCAGAGTGACCATATCTCACCCAACATCACCCTGGGTTATAATATCTATGAAAATTTCTTCAAGGTAGAGATGACTACAGACCCTTTGCTGGACCTGCTTTCAGATGGGGAGGCCAATGTGCCCAACTACAGGTGTGGACGGCAGAGAAACACAGTGGCTGTTCTGGAAGAGGCCGAGACTGGCATCTCCATTCAAATTTCAACCATGTTGGGCACCTACAAAATCCCTCAGGTGTGTCTTTCTCAGGAGACACTTTTCAACCGTGCAACTTTCCATCAGAGAGCCTCTCCAGTAAATGAAAAGAAGAGCTTGATTGTGGAAATGAGTGAAATTGCATTTGGCTTGTTAAATGTAAAATGCCACCATTTTCTATGCCTTTCAGGTCAGTTACAGTCTTGCTTCCCAGATCCTGAGGGATAAAACTCAGTTTCCTTTCTTCTACCCAATGTTCCCTGCTGATGGAGTCCAGTACTCAGGGATGGTCCAGCTTCTCCTCTATTTTCAGTGGACCTTGGTTGGGCTCCTTGCTCCAGAAACTGACCAGGGGGAGAGGTTCATGAGGACAATGTCTTCTTTGATGTTAAGGAATGGCATTTGTGCAGTTATACATCAAACCTTTCCATTAAACGTGGCTTACATGTTATTTTCATTTAAAAAACATTACAAGTGGAGAGAAGTCAATGTCTTTGTTTATGGTTCAGAGACTAGTTCATTCCAGGTTGGAATGATGTTTGTGCAAAGGTTACTTCAACACATTCTTGGATCCGCTATAGAGAAAGTTTGGATCACTAAAGCGCACTGGGATCTCAGTATCGATTTAATACTTAGCATCTTTTCCTTTAAGTATGTGGCTGGCATTTTTTCCTTTCTAATACAGAAAAAGAAATGGGCAAACTACGATGCTATGCATCTTTTTCATACATCCATGCATAACTTTGTGAAGAAAACTTTCAAATGTTCATCCACTAAGGATGCCTTTTCAATGAAAGTCTGGAGGCGGTGCAGACAGGAAGAAGAGCTGGGGGCTCTGAGAAAAGAGGAGATTGATCGGGTTCTGGCTCTGGACAGCTATCTCATTTACAACACCATCTGGGCTGTGGGAAGGGCCTTAAATTCAGCTTATATCTCCACATCCAAAAGATCAGTGAGGAACCTGGGCATGAAGGTAGAAGATCCAAGGCTGAAGGTGTGGCAGGTAATTGTTTTCTATCATTGTTCCCCTGCAGATAAAAATCAGTTTTGTAAGCCTAAGTTATTATTCTGAAAAATTGAATTATCATGAAACTCTGTCCTAACCCAATTATAACCATCCAATCCCTTCATTTTTCTACCCATACCCATTGATTCTGCCTTTTGAAATATTTTTCTCTTTTTTATTGTTTTCAGAGAAAATGCTTTCATATCTTAATTGTTCAGCCATTCTTTTAGAATAGAATAACAATGTTGGAAGGGACCTTGGAAGTCTTCTAATTCAACCCCCTGCTTAGGCAGGAATCTCATCCATTCAAATATCTTACAATACAATACAATAGCAGAGTTGGAAGGGACCTTGGAGGTCTTCTAGTCCAACCCCCTGCCTAGGCAGGAAACCCTATACCGTTTNGCCAATGGAACAGAAGTTGCCTTCGGAAGTTGTGGGAGCTTCATCACTGGAAGCTCTCAAGAAGAGACTGGACAGCCATGTGTCAGAAATGGTGTGGGGTTTGCTTGGGCAGGGGGTTGGACTAGATGACCTACAAGCTCCCTTCCAACTCTGTTAATCTATATGTAACATACAGTCATGTTTACATAAATGGCTCAGGAGAAAGAAAGAGATTCTGGGGTTGGTTTTTGTCCATGCAAGGGCTGTTTTTCTATTTCTTGCCTGGACCCTGTCTGGATCTGAAGCTTCTGTCTCGAAAGAGGTTTTGTTTTCTTCCCTCTTCTTCTCATTCTTTGTGAAAATGCAGGCAGAGAGGGCTCAGTCAGGAACACAAGTCATGTTGCTTATACTTCTCCTTGTGCCGCTTCTGTGGCCAAGGGGAGCCTGCGTGATGCACAAAGCCAAATGCCTCCTGACTCTGGAACAAAGCGAAGTGGACCCAGACAATCATTACAAGTCAGGAGATTATTTCATCAGTGGCATATTCTCTGCAATGAAGGCTAGGTTTCAATCCCTGCACTTCAATAGAAGTCCTTCAACAAAATTCTCTAAGTAAGTTCATCTTCCTGCTCTGCATTACAGCTGCTCCATTTCCAATGAACGTCTATATTTCCAATCCTCTGAAAAAGGGAGGTTTTCTCCCTAATGCCCCCCCTTTTCCTAACTTACTTTCTGATTCTAACTTGGGATCTCTACTGCACACCATAGGTTAAAGAAGCTCATTTTGAGCTATCAAATATCAAAACCCAATCAAGATGCAGTATTTGCCCATATCCATTTTCCTTTCCATCCTATGATCAGTTGGAGTGTGGAAACAGTGGAAGAGAATGGTGCATCTCCCTTCTAACTTACCCTTGAGTAAGGGGGACACTGGTCCAAGCACAAAGGACACTGTCTTTTTTTTCTCTGCATTGGAGAGGAGATAATGAAAAAGTGCAGAGAAGAGCAACCAGAATGATTAGGGGAGACTGGAGGCTAAAACACAAACAGAATGGTTACAGAAACTGGGCATGGCTAGTCTAGTGAAGAGAAGGACCAGGGGAGACATGATGGCAGTGTTCCAATATTTGAGGGGCTGCCACAGTGAGGAAGGGGTCAAGCTGTCTTCCAAAGCAACTGAAGGCGAGACAAGGAAGAATGGATGGAAACTGACCAAGGAGAGATTCAACCTAGAAATTAGGAGGAACTTTTCTGACAGTGACAGCAATCAACCAATGGAACAGAAGTTGCCCTCAGAATTTGTGGGAGCTTCATCACTGGTGACTTTCAAGAAGAGATTGGACTGCCATCATTGTCGGAAAGGGTGTAGGGGCCCCCGCTTGGCAGGGGGGGGGGGTCAGTATTGGTAGGCAGGTCGATATGT